AAACAATGTCAACTGGTCAACATGTCCTATCTTGATCTTCTGTTATTGCCATCAGTTCTAGTACACTGCTAAATCTTATACAAATAACATGATTGCTTTTAACATAGGTTCAAATCTCGTCAAGCGGATGCCGCTGATTTCTGATCCTTACAGCTGTTCAAACATGTGAATGGAACACAACGAGTGCCTTCCAAAAAAACACATTTTTCCACAATTTGGTTGCTTCCGGGCACGTGCATATGCATCAAACTGCATCGGCAAAAGAAACGCCAACTGACTGACAGTTGCTGCAACTGACTGGCAGTTGCTGCAACACCGGGAGCCGATTTTTGCATCAATTCGCTAGATAGAGAGAAAGATAGATAGGTAGGTAGACAGATAGATCGATAAGTAGATAGATAAGTAGATAGATGGGTGGATAGATATAATGCTGTAAAATCTGATTGTTGCATTTATATATTATATATATATATATTCGGAAACTATATAGATATATACAAGGTGTAAGTAACTAGGTAAATTTCAGTTTTTGTTTATTTTCATATGTATTCATCGTCCAGGTTGCAGTAATTATTCAATATTCGATGTGGGGGTGCAAAAGAATTCGAAGAAGGAGCCCGCAATATAACCATTTGTGTTTGCGTGATATCTCAAGAAATACTCTACGTGGGGATGTTTTCCACTTCGTAAATGGAATGCCACATATACATATATATATATATGTGGGGGTTGATGGGTCAAATATGGTACCTGGTAAACTATTTCCTGACTGGGATGCGCATCCAAAAAGAATACCTACGCCCATTTGCAACTTTCATCTCCCAATGCCGCATATTCTGCAACCGCACTTTGCGCGGCTGCAGTTGATTCGTACCGCGCACGGACAAGTCCCGGCTGGCCTTTGTAAATTGTACACTCACCTCAGAGCACGGGGGCAAATGACACAAATAGAAACGTCAAAGCGCATCGGTGTGCAGTTGGGGCTCCCTATGGAAAAACTTTGTGAGAGAACCTCTGCTTTGTAGCCGCCAAAACGTATATATAAAACCCATCTAGCTATGGTATAATTACTATGTTTGATGATCGTATATTATCAATGTATTTATAGGTAAATAGATTTTTTTGAATTTATTTATACATATAGTTACATACACATACCAACATGTTAGCAGGAAGCGCGCTCAAACAACAGCCAAACAAGTCGGAGGCGGAAGTTTCGCAGCTAATGGCCTACGCAACACCAAAGAGATCATGCGCTTCTAGAACGTGTGCACGGGCACCTTCACGTTCAGAGCTGCGATCTTCTGCGAGAGGGCTTGCTGCTTTTCCTCTCTTGACATCTCTTTCTCTTGACATTTCTCTCTTGACATATCTTTTTGTTGACATCTCTTTCTCTTGACATCTCTTTCTCTTGACAACTCTTGCGTTGACTGTTCGGGCAGCACCGTTTCCTCAAGGAGAACTTTATACCCTTCTGTTTGCTATTTTCCTTTCCAGAGGGAATGGAATCGTGGAAGAGTTCCAAGAAGCTGAACTTGACTTGGATTCTGTTTTGGCCTGGAAAGCCAAGTAGTTCCAGAAGGTTGCGGACATGTTTCTAGCGGATCCTGCAGTTTGACAAGGTTTTTACCGGGTGATCTTGTTCTCAGTGTGCTCCCGGGCATGTACTCTGTATAATGGCAGCCGTGCAATCAGAAGTTCATGTTGTTGCAAAGTCTTCAGAACACCTCGTGTTTGATACCCGTGTCGGCTTTCATCTTGTTGCGCGATCGTACTTTCAAGTTCTTTACATCCCATCTGAGCGAACACAAGAAATCAGCAGCCAAGTGGCCCTCAGGGAAATCAAGGTGAAGTGCATGCACAGCCGCTTGCATCTTCCTGACAGCATGAGGCTTCCCAGCAAAGCTGCAAGTCTGTCAGAACGATACAACTCATCAGACAAACAGGTATACAAGTGTGCTATTCTTATAAGCATTCAAGCCAATGACCCGCTAGCACACTCGTTGCTGCATCCGTCGCATGTACAGCAGGCAGTTACAAACTCTTTAGAAGCAGCTTGGCTAGCGACACATTTGACATCCGGATTTCCAATGCTCAACGTTGTTCTTTAGGCGGGCGGCGATGAACGCCAGCTCGCTTCAAACCTTGTGACCGCACCAGGTTGAAGGCCGTCCGGTGCACTTTAGCACACGACAGGCGTTTCATGCGTGCTGCTGGCCTTTTGGCAAAAAAGTCTTTGACTTTTCTGGCTTCCTCCTTGCGTCTTGCGTCAAGGGGGAGCTTGGGCTTGGCTTTGACATCGCAGCCAACCCATGAATTCCATGCATCTGAGTTCCACAACCCACCACCAAGCCTTCGGGCCAACACGTGGCCCGAAACCATCTGCCTGGCTGTGGGTGAATACAATATGAATTATGAGACAAGAGCTTGGCAAGGGTCAAGATGTGTAGTTTGATTTCTAAAGTACTTTTGTGCAAGCTCTGTGTCTGACGGAACCATCCATTGAGTTCAGCGTGCAAGCTCTCATTACTTGTGGTGCCCGCTGGTAGCAAAGCATTTTCCGTTGGTGATAGGCGTCCCCTCACCAGCAAATTGTTGAACAAGTAGCCCAACCGATCTGGCTGCGTGGCACTCCACAGCAGCTTGTACAACGGACTTCTTGACGACCTCAGGTCTGAAGCAGGAGCTGATAGCAGCCAAATGTTCAAGAAAATCTTTGCGGCAAGTCCAAACAAGCAGCTCTTCGGACTTTTGCAAGACTCTTCGGGCTTTCGCTTCGCCCATGCTACCATCCAAGATTTGCGTGCGGAATGCCTCCTCAGCAGAAGTGAATGGCTTAGCATCTTTTGTGAAGAATTGCCACCGCTGTTCGCAAGCCATGCTGGCATCTTGGTTGTTGAATTTGGCCATACATCGCCGCAAAGCTGCAGACCCCGCCGTCTTCTTACAGCCCGAAGCGGATTCGTAGTGCATGGAAAGGTGAACTGGGTCCAAAGACAACGCAACCAAGTTTGGCATGATTTCTTTCAGGGTGGTGAACAGTTTGTAACTGGGCGCGTCCGTAGCCACATACAAGACTTGATGAAGTGCTGCAGCGCTAGCGTGCTTGGTCAATCCCAGCCGAATGTCTTCGGCCCCTTCGCCAGGCGCGGGAAACATAGCAACCACTGCGCCAGTACGCCCCCGAACGGTGATCACACGGTTCACGCTCTCACTCCCATGAAAGGGTGCATCTTCCCGAGCTGCTTTTCCCGCATTGAACGGCTTTTGCCCCAACACGCTCAAGCACACCCTGATAGTGCCATCAATGGAAATTGCTTTGTATTCCTCGTGTGAGACACATTCCGCCAGAATGGAAGATCGCAAGGCGAGGCACCGGTCAGAAAAGAAGACATCTTCAACCAGAGGCCACCATCGGGCTGTATGGGATGGAAGCAAGTTCACTAAACTGCAAGCATGTCGGGCAGCATCCAGCATAAACCTGGGCCAGACTGTCTTCACCTGCCAACGGTCATGTTTTCATTGCACAAACTCCTGCAATAACACAGCCAACACAATCACCTTTTCCATCGGAACAATCATCAACCTTAATGCGCTAGCCCTAAAAGCATGACAGGTGTTATGCTATATGTTCGAAGTTCCCTCGCCTTTGCGTGGTGCAGGACAATCTCTTGGAAGAGCTGCTCTGCAAAGGGCCTTGTGTAATAGATATTTCCAACCCGGCGGGCGACCAGGCTGTGTCCGAGAACGGTTACATTCACATACCGGGGGCCCGTTGAATCGAGCACCAGGCGAATGCTTTTGTCGATCCAGTTGACAGACGATGGAAGCGGTGGCTGGACCTGTTCCCGTAGCACTTGCGCGCTGCGCAGCAAATACTTTCCGTGACGAACACCTGCAATCATGTCTGAATCATGGAGCGATAGTACGCATTTCAGTTGCTTCGTGCCTGAACAGCAATATTGGTTTTTTGCCACATGATACTTGGACAGATGCTCTTTCACACGGCTAGGACTTTGAAAGCTCCGCCACGGGCACAATGGACACGAATACTTGTTCATCACCTGTACAAACTGTCCTTGCCGAATATGATCACAAACTTCTTTCGCCAAGCTGCCGAGCAGAACCGAATCTGTAATGACGACAGCCCCATCTTCCAGCCATCGGTTGCAACCCGGTTCACCATCATCTGGTGGGTCATCGCCTTCGACAGCGCCTGTAGAAGCTGTATCCGAAGGAATATCTACAACTGCAACTTCATCTCCTGATTCAGAGCTGAGCACATAAACGGATGGCTGCTGCAGCGACGATCTAGCTTGATCAGGTGCTTGCGGTGGCTCCTGTATGCTAGCAGGCCGCTTGCGCCCCGAAGCTTCCAGATTCAGCAACGAGGCCACATCTTCATCGTCCAACTCGTCAGAACAGAAGGGCGCAGGGTCGACAGATTCGTCCAGAACCCGAAAATAGACACATGTTGAACTATCCATACCTGCAGCTACTGCTTGCTCAAAAGCCGATCGAGACTGCTTGTATGCGCCATCTGTATCATAGACGACGCATGCGCCATCATCCTCGCCAATGCGAAGCCCCACACAATGTGGCACCCCCAAGCCCTCTGAATGGACCAAAAAAATTCCAGCGTCAAGTTCTGAAACCTGAACATACGGAATGAGCTTTACTTTGCACAGCTTCTCGCATTGCTTGTAAGAACGGGTGGTTGCAGCCTCTGACTCTGCGGCCACAGCTTGCTCAACCAAAGCCCGATTGCCTAGAAGGCTTGCAATGGCGGCAGGTATGCAGTTTCCATCCTTTTCCAACAAGCTCTCACCCGTTCCCATTGCCGGCGCTTGCTCTGAACTATTTTTGATAAGTTGCAAAACACTTCTGTGACGCTTCTCACGAATGTGGACCTGAAATCCAGTTTTCATCTCGATATGCTTCTGGCTCAAGTCACATAGTTCTTGTGTGTCCATGTCGTGGGGCAAGGCGACCCGCACTCCGTCGAAGTGCAAAGACACATGGGTTGGTTTCAAAGTCTGCAAAAAGACCACCCACTCGCTCAAGATGTAGTCTTCTGCTGCCTGATAGAGATGAGCAAGAATGGACATATCAGGGTTCTTCTTGTTGACGGCTGGAGAACGAAAGCGATGGAATTCGTCTTCTAGCAAAGACATGGATAGCCATCGGACATAAAGGGACACTTTGCTGATGCATATCAAGAATTTATTGCCGGCCAAATCATCAGGGATGGCTGCTCCATACAGAATTGCAGTCAGAATTTGTTTTCCCTTTTCTCGACTTGTTTTCAATTCCACGCGGATAACCTGATCTCTGTGCGACACGCATCGGTCAAAAGCAACTCTGAGATCCTGAGGTAGAGGAGGCACCGGCTTCAGTTTGTCTAAGAGCTGGGCAATCACTGTGAAAACAGAATTGGAAATGTCAAGGTCATGGGTGTGCGAAAGCAGATGCTGCTGGGCTCTCCGGGTGAATTTTTGAGCGCGGATGCCTTTTACAATCTTTCGTGTGCGCAACACTGTGGTGCTGGGGTACTCGTAAGATGACTCTACGGTCCAAAGCTTTCGCCTAGCATCATCATCAACAATTTCGTCCTTGACTCTGGTCTCCTCCTGCTTTACCTCGGGGCCCTTCATCCTTAGCCTTTTCCGGGCAGAACTTTGCTGAGAAGAAACGACCTGCGGGCCAGTGAGCTCCTTCAAGAGCGACAAGCACATGCGCTCATGGTCGAACATTTTTTGTGACCTTTCAGCATACTTCTCCTTCTTTGCTTTTGCTGCAGCAGTTGGGCGTCCAGCTGCCCTCGTTTTCCTTGCAATGTTTTTGTAGACCAAGGCCAAGAGTTGAGCATTGTCAGCCCTGCGGGGTGCCTCAACATATGTTGAAAAGGCTGCGGTTGCTAGGCTCTCTTCCAAGTCGGGGCAACTAGTTCTGTCCGTGTAGGCAATGAGGCTTTGTAGCTTCACTCCAGTAGTGATGCCAAGAGCAAAAACAATCTCACTTTTTCCTCGAGAATTTGACTGGATCAATCTCTTGTTTTCCTTCATGGTATCAATAAGATGCTCCTTGCTCAAGTTTGGAACTCTGTTGAATTTCAACTTTTTCAGCATAGGAGCCGTGAGGTCCAACCTCCTTTGTATGAGCAAATGGTTCATCAATGTCTCGGACACATTGCACCAAACTACATCAGGATCGTCCGCAGGTGGGGGCTCGGAGTCAAGCACAATCACACTAGCAGCGCGGGTTGCTACATTGCGGACGTCACGGGGGGGCATCCCGCACGCTTCCCGCATGGTTTGCTCCGTGAGGCCTTGGTCGCCGCCCCAATATGCATAGTCTTCGATCAAGCGCTCACATTCGTCCTTGCCGTATTTCATCTCAAAAGCGTTCTGGATCTGCAAGGCGGCCAGAATGGCAGGGCCGGAGGTGAGAAATTGCTTGAGGTCCGGGTCCTTTGGGAAGATACCGTCTCTCCACATGTCTGCATAAGCTCCTTGCAAGCGGCTCTTTCATCAATACATGCTTATCTTATCTCGCAAACCCGAAACGGTAACAGCAAAGTAACTTCAACACCCTTTAGGCTTAGACAGCCAGTCCTTCAATCGCGCGAGGGTCTTCGAAGCGCGCGAGGATGCGAAACACAAAGGATCTCCTCAAGATAGCATTGAAGTCTTTCTTGCTGACTTGCATGAACTCGAACATTCTGTTTGCTTCCAATCTCTTCCATCCACGACATTCTATCATGCGGGTACGAAGGCCGTACGGCTTGCGACCCGGAATGCCTTCGGCGCTCATAAACTTTTTATAGAGATCCTCTCTGAGCCGCTTGTTGGTGCCCGGTGCCTCTTGTCCTACGGCCACAGATTGACATCATGTCTTTAACATCGAAAGATGAGCTTTCTTTCAGTCCAACGGTTTTTAAATTATGTTAGCTATTGTCTCACGCACTGCTGTCTACTTGTAATCACGACAGAATGTAGCTGTGACACGCATGACGTATGCGCGTCCTACCTGTCAGCACAAAGCACCCATTCAGCTGCTCAATCTGCTTTCTCATCTCGTCTTCGTTCCACCAGATGTTCGGATCGAAGTACGCAAAGTTGGCTCCATACATCGCCTATGGCATTCTCAAGTTCAAAGGCAAAGTTTACTTTAAACTGTCTTCGACTAACCTCTCTATAGACGGAAATAATTGCAAACCCGATTGTTTGTCACAACTTTCGGCGCCTGCAGATGAGCTGAATACAGCGACGGCCCAACTCCTCCAGAAGAGAGGCCAATGAAGATCCGCACGACATTGTACCCTCTTTTCGCCAAAGCCTGCGCTGCTTGGCAACACTTAAAGACAGGAAGGTTGCACCAAAACGTTTGCCGGTAGAACTTCTGCAGCCTTTCGACAATGTCTGGTTGCACAACCCCTTTGAGGGTCAGAGTCATCAAGACAACCTGAGCCCAACGAGACAAAGATCACCGACGAAACGGTAACGGTGCTAATCTTGAAAATAAGGAATAACTGTAACGGTGTTGACTTTGATTCAACCCCCCTGCTTTATACCAAAACAAAACATTACTCGGCCAACAACACCAAGAACAACCCACTACTGCAACATGAGAATGACTAGACATGCATGCATGCATACATAGATACGTGGACGAAGACCGAGTCAGAAAACCAACCCTGGAGTCAGGCAACAAGAGTACACATACCCGCGAGTCAGCCAACATCTACCCGCGGGTCAGGCAACACTACCCGCGAGTCGGGCAACCGATCGTGCAAGTCAGACAATAAGCGCGTGAACAACAGACAAGCTGGGGTGGGGTGGGGTGGGGCATGTTAACGTTCCTAGTAAGTTGCACACGCAGTGCATACTACGCCATGCGCGTTCCTTGTAAGTTACGCCGTTGTTGCTATGCTGTGATGGAGGGGTGGGGTTAGACGCTTTCTATCGATTCGAGCCCTCGGCGGCTGACTCTCTTCCTCAGCGGCCGATTCACCTGCGCAGCGGCTGACATGGACTTGTGACTGTTCGACACTGATACCTTTTTTCGCTACGTTACCGTTGGACCTTCTATTTATGTTGCTCTGCCGGCCGATGCGTTGCGCCGTCCGACGCAAACATTCTCGCCGGCCGACCTGCGCATTCAACACGGCTGACGCGCACAGTCTCGCCGACCGATTCACACAATCGCGCTGCCTGATACGAACATCCGAGTCGCCGACTCACAGTCCCCGCGCCATCTGACACGCATATACCGCCGGCCGACCCAACGCGTTCGATTCAGTACAAAACCTTTATACGTGGATATGTAGAGACATGAATGAGTAGACACATGCATGCCTACATATCATAATTCATATTCATCCTGCCATCCCTGTCATCTTCTCTTTCTTGTCTCCTCATCTTCATCCTGTCATTTGTTCTTCATCTCTTCGTCTCTTTCTCTTCTTTTCGCCTCGTTTTTCATTCAGTCTTTGATGTGCCTTGTCTTTCACCGAGTATGGAGCATCATGGAACCTCCGCGAATATTCATGAATGTAGCTTTCGATAAGCTTCGTATCGCGATCGCATTTGGCAACATGCTGTGCTTGGGTGGGGGGCTGCGCCCCCCCAATCCCTTTGCTTTTGTTTGTATTTTGGAACGATACACCATTTCTCGACAACGCATATGCACGTGTACTGTGTGTGTGCATATATGTAAATATACAGATATAAAGAATTACATTTATGTGACATGCATGCGCAGGCATTCTGCATGTACACACACACACACGCACATATCTAGATCTTCTGTATCTCCATGCCTGCATACATCCATACATACGTGCAAATGTGCATACATACACACATGCATCTATAAAACATAGACGCATAGATACGCAAATACGCAGGTACATAGACACAGAGATACAAGCAGATACAATGCAACTAGTTCCACAATTTTGCCAATAACATGCACAAATCAAAGTTGTTTGTATCAAATTATAGCAAATACCTGAAAGACAATATAGAATAACATGCACATTCAAGGAAACCAATCACACGTGCAGGAAAATTAATGACAAATTAAGACAAAACAATGCAAAATCCAGGAAAATGAAGGAACATGCAATAAAACCAATGGAAAATGCAGTAAACCCACAGGAAACCAAAGGGAAATTACAGCAAAACTGACGGGAAGACGCAAGAAAACAGGAAAACCAAGGAAAATGCCGTAAAATTATGGAAACTGCAAGAAAACTAATGGAAAATTATTCACAATAAATGGAAAATGAAGGAAAACCAAAAGGACGCGGAAAACACAAAACAAAAAAATACAAAAAACTATCCCAACCCCTTGTGCTCCTTTTGCATGCTTAGTCAGTCTTGTTCTCTGTGGAGTGATTGGCTGTCTTTCTTTTTTTCCGTCCAACGCCTTCGTGGCTTCCGCCAGGTCGTTCAACATGTTCAATTGCATGTTGCAGACTAATGTTAATTAGCTGATGAATTATAATTCTCATGCAGGGCAATCAACTGGTTGATAGCCACAAAAGTGCTGTTAGTGGACCAGTACACAGTCCAGCGAGCTGTCCCAGCAAAAAAACGAACCAACAAAAAACAAAGAGACGAGGGATAGCTGTGTCCTAATGAAATAGGCCACCGAAAAAACATCAGACCAAACCAAAAACAGATCAACAAGGTGGCCAAGCAAATGGATGAAAGAAGCAACAAAGCTCAATGCGGAAACCAGGGATCCTCCCAGCCAGGATCCCCGAGATCACAGAGAGCAGCCATTCAGGCATAACCTTCACCCTGGCACTTCGAAGCAAACACCGACAACGCCGGGTCGCAACGAAAGTGGTGAAAAATGAAAAACCGGTGAAACAGGAAGTGAGACACGATCTATGGTGAGAAATAGACGGCAGCAGCTACTGTATTCAGGGCGCACTCAGAGTCCGCTCAGTAGTTCTTTTCCAATCCTCATCATCATTGGGAGCTGTGGTGCACTTTGTAGTGCATGCTGCGTCTAGACAGAGTTAGCGATGGTCACTAGCTCGAAGGCATGAATATGGGCTTGCAAGCGTGGAGCTCTTGAACCAAGATTGGTCGGCTGACCTGAGAATGCTACAGCTGTTATGCCAGCAACGCAATGCTGTTCTGGCACTCAAATTTGTGGATAGGGACGAACATTGTCAGTGAAATGTTCAGCCCATGTTCTGGACGGGCAACTTGTGTCATCTGTGGCAAGGTCCTCTGTATGGCGGGGTTGAACTCTGCCTTGCATAAGCTGGAGCTGTCGGCTAATAACTGCACGTTCTGTCTCATTGGTTCGGGCTTCTACACGAATGCGTAGGCTGTTAAGGCAGAGGCAAGCCGTGCGTATTGTTCTGCGATCCTGCTCATTAATTACGCCTGCCAAGAGTTCGTTTGCTGCAATAAGGCTGTAGTATCCTCCAGTGTTCGCTGGGTCTGCGACAGTTTACATACATAGTCTTGCAGGAGGAGAAGATCCTGTGCCTCATTGTGACTATGGAGTGTTGGAGGCAGGCATGTCTGTTTGCTCGATTGAGCTGTGTCCATGTGGTAGGACAAAACGGGCATCGAGAGCAGCAGATTAAACTGAGCAAGAGCAAATAAAACGGCAACGGGCGCCATGGCTTGATGTGCTTTGACATCATCCTACACTACCGGTTACTGTGCTATACTAATGGACCGGTAATTTAGTTACCAAAGCTCGCCCCCTCCCATTCCTCCCTTTTAGTAATTACAAAGGTTAGCATATGCTGGAAGGGTCAGTCGCCTATGGTAAGCAGCTCTACATTAACAAGCACGAGTCAACCATGGGAACCCCATGGTTTTTTTTCCGTCCAACGCCTTCATGGCTTCCGCCAGGTCGTTCAACATGTTTCAGAGCATGTTGCAATTGGGATTAATGAATTAATTAAGTCACGCAAAGGCCGTTGCTGTAGTGGCCGCAAAAGTAAACTGGTGGAGGACCGATACATAGTCCTATGCACTGTCACGTTCATCCAGAAAACCAAGCAGAGCACCAAGAAACAAAGAAACAAAAACCAAAAACAGAACCAAACACAAACAGAACACAAACACACAAAAACAAAAGCAAACAAACCAAACAAAAAATAACACAAACCACCGAGCAGTGACGTGACAAGTTCCAGTTTATGGGTGAAAAAGATCGATTAAAGCAAGCGGTGATAGCTTTGTATCATCTCGGTGCATGCAAAATGACATCTTGTGTGCCATGCTGACGCTGGCCCATACAATAAACAAAAAACAAGACACGCCGCAAAAACACCATGGGCCAATTCAGAGGGTGTGGGAAGCAACAAAGCTCAATGCGGAAACCAGGGATCCCCCCAGCCAGGATCCCTGAGATCACAAAGAGCAGCCTTCACGGCATAACATTCACCCTGACACTTTGAAGCAAACACCGACAACGCCGGGTCGCAACGAAAGTGGTGAGAATAACTAACGCAGTGAAACTGGAGAGTGAAACATGATCTAATGTGAAAATGACAGCAATGGCTACGGCACTCAGGGCACCCTCAGAGTCCGCTCAGTCGTTCTTTTTCTAGCATCAGCATCAGCAGGATTGCGGTTTGCGGGGAGTGTCACTTCACTAGTGCTCCTGCAAGTTGTCTTCATGGTATGGGAGATTGTGCTCGTCATCAGTGCGTGGTGATATCTGTGCATTGAGTTCTTCCGATGACGTGCTGGCTCCTTTGGCTGTATGATCAAGAAGCAGTATGGCTTTCTGCGCTTGGGTTACTTCGTAACTGGCAGATATTGTACAACTATCCAATATACAGCCAATCTGGCGGAGTTGGCGTATGGCCGCTTCAAGGTCAGTGACCCTCTGGGATGGGGTGTTTTGTATGCCTTGAAGCTTCTAGTATGCCTTCTCCAGAAGTTTGGTGGCATCATCGACTTCACTGGTAGTGACCTGGCATAGGGTCAGAAGAGAAATGGACTTTGCAAGGCGATGTACAGCGGCATCTTTCATAGGAGTCGGTCGTTCCATACCTCTAGGCGAAGCTGTACACAGGGTTTTCAGTAGACGTAGGGCCGCTGGGCGTCCAGTTCATCACTCACAGTGTTGCAACCTTTGTTGAGGAAAGGCATGGGGAAGTGTGGTGAAAGTCATTTGGCCGGTCCATGTGTTGGTTGAACGAAGGTCAAACGGCGACGGGCACCATGGCTGATGTTCTTTGACATCGCGCTACACTACCATACAACAAGTTAGGTTAAACAAAACAAACAAACTCCCTTAAAAAGGTTATTATAACCACCCCCCACCGCCTCCCTTTCCATACTGACCCAGGCATGCTTACTACAACAGTAGCTACAGTGGATAGTGGTCAACCATGGGTACCCCATGGTGACAGAACTTCAGAACCACGGTCTTAAAATGTGAAAAACGTAAACCCAAGTACACCT